TTTGAAGAAACTATTTCTTATCGAAAAACTGTTCTAGAACCTTTAATATTTACTTATGCGTCAACTGTCTTATTATTCTTCTGACATCTAGAGAAGCTGTTTATTTTCATTTTTAATTACTTACCATGAAATGAATAAAAAGACATATTTTTTATTCCTTAACAAATTCTTCCCAAAAGTTCATTAGAATATGAATTAATATACAGGAAGAACAACTGTAATTTTATCTGAAAATAAAATAACAACAATAATAATCAAAAAACAAAAAGCCACTCACACTGTTACCTGTTATTTCAAACATATCAAATTGTATATGTACTTGTATTTTGACTACGTTCACTTTACATATTCCAACGAAGTAAACAATGACACTCACGTGGCTGCAAAGCTATCGATCGAAACGGCAATCTTAGATCCGTTGTATCAGGAATTTTTTGTTATTTACAACAGTAAATCATGTTATCGGTCTAAAATAAAGTATTTTACATTCATTGGATTTAAAGCGTTAATCCCTCGTTTCAAGTGTTAAATGTCACTTTTAATCCATGAGGCACAAGAAATTAATTTAAGGTTATTTAAATTATCACCATGACAATTTTAGGGCTTTGTAATGGTTTGTGATATTTAAATTTCACATTTACGTGTATCTTTAAGGCTTTAGTGCTGAAATATAAGTACAAGCCTACACGAATAAGTTTGCGTCTGAGGCATCTCGTTAGTTCTGTTTACTTTATTACACAGGGGTACCCAGGGGTTTTTGGCGTCGGTGATTCCGATGCCGAGGTCGGTTAAGCTCTATCACATTAGGTTCAAGGTCATTTGAAGGTCAAACTAAGAAAAGGTGGTTGAAAAAAACTGAAAAAATTCATACATAGGATTTTTGGGTCGCTGAACCTGAATCCGGTTGACCTCTATCACCGCATGTTCAAGGTCGTTTGAAGGTTAAACTAAGAACAGGAGGTGAAGAAAATTGGAAAAAAATTTGTCTGTTTATCTGTCTGCATTTTTACCTGCACATCTGTTTGTTTGCTTGTTAGTCTGTATTTATCGTCCGCTGTATTTTCTCTCTGTCCATCTATCTGACATCCAGCCTTTCTACCTGCCTTTCTGTCGGCAATTTTGTCTATCTTCCTGTCTAACAAAAAGATTATATGTTTCTATTATATGAACCTGAAACTTCATTTTCTTCATTCTCATCTTGATTGGTTCCCAGAAAATTTGGGAGCTTTTAGTGAAGAACAAGAAAAAAGAATGCACCAGGACCTGAATGAGTTTGAACAAAGATATCAAGGTGTTTGGGGGAAGAATATGTTAGCAGACTATTGCTGGAATCTAAAGAGAGATACAAAAAATCGCATAAAAGAAAAGCGAATCGAAGATTATTCCAAGAACAACGTAAGCATTCTTGCCCGAATTTGGATTAAGATACTTATGCTGAGAGAAATGAATTGATCTGTTGAAGGCTTTCAAAAGCCTTTTTTTAACCAGTACAACCACGCAAGACCGAGAGAGGATGGGAGGCAGAAAGGTAAGAAGACAAACTGACAAGGAAGCAGACATTACATTCGTAAAATTTTTTTCCAAATTTTTTCACCTATTCTTACTTTAACCTTCAAACGACCTTGAACATGAGGTGATAAAAGTCAACCCACATCGGACTCAGCGACCCAAATAACCTATGTATGAATATTTTCAGATTTTTTCAACCACCTTTTCTTAGTTTGACTTTCAAATGACCTTGAACCTGACGCGATAGAGCTTAACCGACCTTAGCATCGGAATCAGTGACCCCAAAAGCCAATGGGAACCTAGGTAGAGTCTGGTGTTTTTTTTTTCAAACTAAATGTTGACCTGTGTTATTTTTATAATCTCCTAAATCAAGTTTATTAATAATGTTGTGTTCATTATTCCTTTTTACTTTGCACAAAAAATGCCAACTTATAGACGGAAAAAATTGGTTCTAGATTGTATAAAACATGCGATAACATAATATGTATCTTATCAAGTTATCAATTAAATCAAATTTCTTAGGATCAAGTTCAAGATAACACCAGTATTTCATATCTATACGCATATTAATAACTCTTATAAGAATAATGATCTAACACTTATAAAATAAATATTGTTGCATTTTTAAATTTTTTTATCAATTTTCCGCTGTGATTCTGCCCAACTATATCTCTTATTTTCATTTTGATTTCACATGATGAGCTTTCTTGGTAAATTTTACCACCCTGTACAGGAATCACTGTCTCCAATGGGAGATAAACGAACATTGCCCTTGTTTTAGGTGAATAAAATTTAACTGTCTAATTTAACAGAGCAATTTTATCTCCCAGTTTTACTGTCAGTGCCGTATCCTTTTTTTTCGCTACGGGGTATCAAACGAGTTCGTTAATTAAACATCCTAGAACTAAAATTCAAATCGATACTGTAAAAAGGCACGACGGATAGTAAATTTATATACCTCATGTTATGTCATGTTATTTGGTATTAAAAAAAAATAATAAATATTTCCCAAATTTCACTGCCATGAATGTCAGCTTCGAGAGATGTTATCGGAATGCCTCCAGGTTATCTGATTTCAGCAATAACACATTCTGTGGCGTCCTGAATTTCAGTTTCAGGCGACGGTGAAGCGTTGACCTTTGACCTCGGAGGAAAATACGGCGGCATTGTACGCTCGATGAGGCGTAATCCAGGAAGGGAAACCTATCTAGGATTTCTTATTACGGTTAGCTGGAAAAAAAATGTAATCACCTTAGTTCTTTTGATGCCACCTTTAGATAAGAAGGCGATTGATGGATGGCAGAAATTATGGGAGGAAAACAAATATATTTTTGTCGTTTTTGTAGTATTTTGTATTAAAATGCTGGAATGTATCCTATAAAAATGGTCGATACGGGTATTTCTGTGCATTTTGTTATTAATATTTTTTTAATATCAGCTCTTGTAATTTTATTTTTCAGGTGTTAAACTAGCTAAAATGTGTTATAAAAGTGTTTCTAAATTCTCATCAAATGGAGTTATACAATTGTCATACTTAGGACGGATCTTCTAGTAGTTAATACAGTGCGTCTCATTTATTATGGGCATTATCCAACTTAATTTTAATATTATGTATTACTACATTTTTTTAAATTTCTCTTGATTTTAAAGTCCAACTTTGATAAACAGATATTAGATTCCATTCGGTGCAAAATCAAAACAAGTAAGTGTTGAAAGAATTTAAATAATTCGACTCAACAAAACGGTATACATTTTGACAATATTGTTGTAAATATTTTTAATATGATTCTAATAAGTCTATTTACTATTCCTTTTATTTATTATTTTATTATAAGAATTGTTATTTCCTTAAATTAAGATATCCAGAAAGATACGTATATTTTGTATTTGTAGAGTAAATTTAATAGCTGGTTCTTTATTATTAATATTTTCCTGAAAAATATTTAATTCCTCAATAGTAAAAGGCTATTTTGCAAAAATATAATCTACATATGTCCACCAAATGGTGGACTTCTTATTTAAATTGTTAATACTTTTTTGGGTGCCTTTCAAAAGGTTGTAACTTGACGAAAAATGGTTTTAGAGCAAGTTTATAGTTTTCAGGATTTGAAAGTCAAAATTTTTTATCTTTGACCCTTTAAGAAAATATAAGAAATCCAGCGGAAAAAATTTCTAAATATTTACTTACCTTTCAAAAGGACCACGACCTTCAATAACTTTCATTCACTTTTTGATAAGTAATAATATTTGGGAAAAAAAAAACATTTTCAAATTAAAAATATGAATAAAAGATGGAAAATTTCATTAAGCGGTTTGTACTCTTGAGGGTTACTTTGGAATACTTTGAGGCTAAAAAAAAATGAAAATATCCATAGTGTATTCATTATTTGTAACGTTATTTATTTTAAAGTTTAGTGAAAAACCTTATTTACGCAATTTTTTATGAAAAAAATTTTTTTTAACAAAAAAACAATAAAAACGTCTTATAGAGAATAATTTTAATCTCTCAAATCCCTGCTTAGAGGACCCAGCAAGCTCTATGAAGGCCTCCAAAAAAATCAAGCATTTCAAATCCTAAACACTTTTTCGTTTCTAAAAACAAGGTCACGCAATCAGCGACTTATCGATATCAAATTTCAAAACCTAAACACTCTTCCAAACTTGCAGCATGCAGCTACAACAAGCCAAAAAGGTTATTTTTGCTTTGAACAACGATAAGTAAGCGACAAATCATCGCACAAAGCAATTGAACAGCTCAAATTAAAGGGGATCAAAAGAGCTGACAAGTGGGATTGCCAAAAAAAAAATGTTGAAGCGCGTGGCCCTTTCGAAAGGGAAGCAAAATTGTGAAATTTTTTCCGATGGATTTCTTATTTCTTAAAATTGGTTAACGACACAAAATTTTGATTTTTCAAATCATGAAACTAGAAGCAAAGTTCAATTTGCTTTTTTATTGCTTTACGACCATTTTTCAAAATAAAGTTTGATAATTTCCAATAAATTGGTTGCTTTCACTGAAGTCAAAAGTTCATCAGTTTGTAAGTTTGGTTTCCCTGTACACCATGTAGCTTATTATTTTACATTTAAAAGCGGTATTAATAGTGGTTTTAAGTCTTTCACACTGATATTCAGAGTGCAATTGTTCTACCGTGGCATATTTTAACTAGGAAAATTTGACCTGCCCTTGTCGGCCTAGCCAGAGCCTAGCCCGAGAACAACAAGAGCGGTCAAAGATCCCCAATTACCCTCATTAAATTTAAATTTTTTTATTTTTTCCCGTAGATGGCAAAATACGCGATAAATAAAGAAAAAAACTAGAACACGAACATCAAAGACTATCTTATTAATACAGTTTATTAGAAATATTCCTGTATTGTTTTATTTTATGAGCTACATTCTACAGTAAAAATAGGTAAACAGTTCTATATTAGACTTGCGTCAGTTGCACGTAACCTAACAAACAAAATATAACAAATTCTACGTTGTACAGTACCTACCACGAGAAAATTGATTTAATTGAACAATTGAGCTTAAATAGGTACGTCGCTGGTTCGTATATTTAGATAATGATTTATAAAGTAACCAGTTATACGGAAAATCGTCAAACTGTCGTGTCGAATAATAAATAAAACATAAATACAGCGATGGCTTACAAATCGGAGAGCCTCGTGGAATACGTACTGATACACTACAGATGGGTGTTTGTGTGTTTGTTTTTACTACCGGCGTCGTTTTTCTTCGATATATGGATGTACGTCAGGAATTGGCTGGTGTTCAAATTTAGCAGTGCCCCAAAGAAACACGGCAGCAAAGTGTTGTTTGTGCAAAGACAGGTAGGCGCATTATCGATAATAATTATGGTGTTCCAAAATAGATTTTATTTTATTTCGTAAGTAAACAATCTCTGTGTACTTTCAGATACAGGAGTGGAACAAAGATGGTCAAAAAAAGCAAATTTGCACTGCTCGACCAGGCTGGCAAACCATCAGTTTTCGAAGACCAATTTATAAAAACAATATGTACAAAGTCGAAGTAAATCTGGTCGACATTTTGGAGGTGAACGCTAAAAAGAAGGTATAAAATTAAACCGTCATGTTTTCCTTTAATTTATATTATTATTGACGGAATTTTCTATATCGGTCTCAAAACTACGTCATATATGCACCCAAAATAGCTGTGTAGGTATCTTTTTTTACTGATTTAAATAAAATGAAAAGTTATGTAATTAATTTAATTATTTGTCACCGCATATAAGGAGAAAAAAATTGACGTGCCGTTTCTATCGCAAACTGTACCTATATTAAAGTAAAACTATACTCACGGTACTTTTGTAGTGCATGGTGTTTCAAAAACATGTCCATCGCTTGTAGGAAGAATCCTTACCTAAAACAAAAAGCTCCAATCAACACGACTATAATTCGCGATAGAGACATTATTTTTTTTAACATCCATCCGCACATAGCAGACAAACGAAAAACGACAGTAAAAATCTGTTTGGATGGCGTTTTTTTCAAAATTTGTAAAATAAAAAAAATGACTTCATCAACTTTTTTTCCAGGAACATACCCATTTGTTACGATTACTAAAATTATATATTTTTTATGAACATTTTTTGTGCAGAAATTTTTTCTCTATCTATTCTCCTTAAAAAGTTACAATAACAAACATTACACAAAAATGTATCCTATTGTATTAGTAGTCATGATTTAATCAACATTGCTGTGAAAACAATGGCTAAAACTACCGTCACAAGTCTTTTTACATAATATTAGTTTCTGTCAAACGCTATTTCTTGCTTGATAAACAAACTAGTACCTAAGTGGTTGATAAAAATTAAAAAATGTTCATAAACAAGGAAAAAGGTGACATGATTTTAATTTATGGTAAATGTCAAAAAAATGCCAGAAGAGCTGCTAACTATCATGGGAGATATCTAGAGCTTCAAGCTGTTTAGGCCAGGAAATATAGAGTTGGACCGTCAAAGTTGACGGCCTATTGTTAAACAAATTAGGTTGGTAGCGGCAAAAAAAAATACTGTCATAACTGGCAACCCGAGCACTTTCCCAGATAAAAATGTTTTATTTGTGGAAGTATGTTAAGTGCATAAGAAATACTGTCAAAAGCAGTGCCTGATTTACCTACAGGCTGGTGTAGGCTGCAGCCTACAGGCCTCCACCATGTTAACAAATTTTTTTTTATGAAAACTATTTTTTTTTAAGATTTTTTTAAGACCTCCCCATCATGAACAAGAAATAAAAATTATTCTGAAAAATATAATTTTTTATTCTTAAAACTTGAATAGGCCCTCACCAATTTTCAGCCCACAGGCTATTCCACTATAAATCAGGCACTGGTCAAAAGTCAGTGCGTCAGTGGGTCGCTTGATTTTCGGCGAGCCGTGGCGCGGTGGAAGGGTGGGGGAAGCGAACGACAGCGAGTCCGAAGAAAATGACGATAATATTCATAGTCCCACCGTTAAAATAGCGAAATTCGCTTGAAAATAATATGTTTGACAGTCTGTAACTCCTTTATTTTTCAAAACGAATCTTGACGATTTTTTTTTAACTTAAAGCTCTTTTCATAAGCTTTCCGAATATGTAATAATATATAACTATATCACGCGCGTGAGTCGGATATTTCTTTTTGCAACTAAGGCTAAAAAATAAAAAAAATTCCAGGTTGCTTTGAAATTAAAAGAAAATGATAGATTTCAATGTATTATTATAAAATCTACCATGAAAAAAAAACCAGTGCGATTGTGGAAGAAGTAATAATTAGTTAATTTGTTTATAAGGCCATAACTTGTAAACTATTCAATTTACCGATTCCAGATTTCGTGTGAGTTATTAGACAGTGACAAGGAATGAGAAGATGCGATGCCAAAACGTTCTGGTAATAATAACGCAGTTTATAAATGTTCAAAAGTCATAAATAAACTTCTTCTGTTTATAACTTTTGATCTAATCAATATTTTTTGACGCTCGAGGGCTAGTTTTGTAGGTCTTTTGAAGACGAAAAAAAAGTACTTTACTGTTTTCTCGTGGAAATGAACGGAAAAAAGTTATAAGCGAAAAACGTGAATTTACGTAAAAATTATACAATTAACCAGCCTGTAAACAATCTTCCCCCCATGTTTATGACTGTGGAAACTAATATGTTATTGTACATAATATTTAGCATCTATAGTGATAAATTCAGCTTGCCGAAACAAAAAGTCGCGAAATGGTCATTTCCCAGCTCTTTTTCCTGGCCTATTTGTATAATGTTTGTTACTGTTAACTTATTAAGGAGAAGAGATAGGGAAAACATTTTTGCATAAAAAATGTTCATAAAAAATAGATAAATTTAGTTATCATAAAAAATAAATATGTTCGGAAAAAAAAAGTTTATTCCGAATCTTGAAAAAAATGTTTTTCAAGTACAAAACGGACCTTAGTGCGTCCCGATTCACGCCATCTAAACAGATTTTTACTGTTGTTTTTCGTTTGCCAGTTATGGGCTCGAGACGCGAACTTTGGGACACCTTGTACATTTTGGGAACCGCTCTCCACATGGAAGGTAATCATTTCCGAGTTTGCTAAGTCATGTGTCAAGGAAATTATTTAGAAGTTTTTATTCTGCGGATAAATAATTCTAACACCAAAGCAATACGACGGATTCTACATAGTTTAAAAAATAACAACTGGTAATTAAAATTAAATCTTGCACTAACCTTAACCCAACTTTTAATTTCAAGTACATACAGAATTCCCTAAACCATAAACGAATGAGAAATTACTTTTAGAAAATTAATCATCATATTCATCATCATAAATTTTAGAATTACACTCAATTATTGAAAAATCATTATTTAAAAAATGAGTTACTACAAAACATGCTTAATCAGCATCTTAAGCTAAAGTTGTCATAATCTCCCCATTCACATACACACAACAAGTAAGTATTTCACTAGTTTTCATAGTACATATGCATTTAATTACAGCACATTAAAGATGCAAAACAAATTTTCTTGTGGCTAAAGCAGTTCTTTTTCTAATGCGGCAAAATACCTAAAAAAAGAGATGTCAGCGGTTCTCAACAAGTTTTCTGTTAAAAACTCATGCATATTTATTTTAAATTTCTAATGTTTTGGAAAAAAAAAACTGTTATTTACATTTACATAATTAACTGTACCGCTGTTTAAAATAAATGTACGCTTTTAAAATTCTCTTTTTATTGTGCATATTTTTAATTATCCAATAGTTCTTGGCAAAACATGACACCATTGTGATGCAGCAACCACCCTATTCTCCGGACATGATCCCTGTGACTTTTCCTATTTCCCAAACTCAAAAGGATACTTAAAGGACAACGTTTTTTTAACAATAGATGAGGTAAAAGCAAAATCGCAAACCGTGTTCAAGACAACATCTAAAGAGGCGCTCCACCAGTGTTTCTCAAACTGAAAATTACGTTGGCATAAACAGGGGGACTAAAAATTGAAGATTAAATAAATACTTTTTGATATAACTAACAATTCCCGTTACTGTTTTATCAAACCTCGTACGAAGATATTTTGACTTTAAATATAATCCTTCTTCCTCCACAGCTCGTCAAGGCGGAACCTCTGGTAACTATGGGACAACTCACAGCAACTCTTAACCCCTTAGGCTGGACGATTCCAGTACTGCCCGAAATGGACGATCTTACATTAGGAGGACTGATCATGGGAACAGGAATCGAATCCTCCTCCCACATATACGGTCTATTCCAACACATCTGCTTATCCTACGAACTGGTTCTGTGTGATGGAAGCGTTGTTAGGTGCTCTCCGGAAGACAATCCCGATCTGTTTTACTCGGTTCCTTGGTCTTACGGGACGTTAGGAATACTGACAGCTGTGGAGATTAAGATGATTCCAGCTAGGAAATATGTCAAGTTAAAGTATGAGGCAGTGAAAGGTTTAGGTAACATCGCCAAGAGATTCGAGGAGGTTAGTAAGGACACCAGGAATGAATTTGTGGAAGGCATAGCGTTCAATGAAGATGAAGCTGTGATTATGACAGGGGTACAGACGGACCAACGTGAAGAAGATAAGGTAACTGTAGCTTTAATTACATTGTGTAAGGGGTGTTAGTATAGGATCCACCCCCCCATACCCTCCTTACCCCTCCCCTCCCGCGCTAGCCTAAGGGCCACCTTAGCAAAGCGCATCCCAGGCTGCATAGTCGCACTACCCTACCCAACCATACCACACATAAACATGACACTACCCCCGGGGTTTACACGGACGAGCCGGCGAAGGAAGAAGAGCGCCAGAAGAAAGGGCCCTAGCCGGCGGGGCCCAGCCAGGACAAAAGGAGGTCCCACAAAGCGCCTACACCGGCCGCATTTGCGGTCGGGGTAGACGACGGATGGGGCCCATCTACGAAGGCTGTCCAGGCTTGCACGAGATGAGGCAGGATAAAGAGGGATAATCCCCCTCGATCCCAAATCATTGAGGCCAATTTCTAGCCATGGAATAATGGCGAGTATAGGATCCAACATGACCCATTAACGCTCAAAATCGGATTTTGATGGGGGTACCTTTGAACTATGGCACCATTACACTCAGGCGGAATCAAATGAAACCTACTACGTTTCATGTTTTTCGGGATGCTTTTTCAGTTGGTGCCCATAAAATTTGAAAAACAATCATTCAGACCAAGAAAAGTTGAAAAACACCGCAATTTTTTCATATTTTCAATTTTTATACCATATTTTGAAGGAATTATCGCTAAAGTACGTGTCTAAAACCAATGGGAAAGTGCATAAAATCTCATTCGGAAAATAGCATCAGATTTTAACAAGGGTTTGCTCGAAAAAGACGGATTTTCTCATAAAGTCAAAGAGGTGTAAAAGGTCTTAAAATTGGTCAAAGAACACATTGGAATTTTCCCAGAGTTGTTTGGGCCATTTTTCAAATTTTCGGCAAATTTTGACAAAATTCATAGTCTCAGAAAAAACGGTGAAAATTCCTGAACCCATTTCGATTCTGAATACTTTTATTACTTTCAACTCTCGAATGCTGTCCAAAATTTGGTTAAAAATTGCCAAAATTCGAAAATTTCAGACATAGTGATGAAATTCCAGTAAACAACATCAGGGAAAATTGTAACCTTTCCTATTTTAGATTCTGGATATTCTCAGATTTGAAATGAATTATTACGGTTAATATCAAAGTTTTCACCACATATTTAAGGGTTTAAGTGTATACAGAAAACGTAAAAACAGGTTATAAATTATTAAATGTTACTGAATGAGACCATTGCATTTCAGATCAACTCTATAGGTCGCTGGTACAAGCCCTGGTTCTTCCGGCACGTTGAGAGTTTTTTAAAGGGCAACAAAAATACTACAGAATACATACCTTTAAGGGACTACTACCACCGTCACACCAGATCAATATTTTGGGAGATTCAGGTAAGCTCGTTTAACTTGCCCTTCTAATTTACCTGTCCATAAAAGACTTCCGGTCTTCGCTGTGCGGATATCTTTGTAGGTAATTTAAATTCTCAGTAACCGTTATCTTAATAAAGGTCATAAATAACGTAGGAGTCATGCCATTTGACTAATCTTGTTAAGTAAACACGTTATTCTAGCTTCTAAACTTTCTATTTATTCTAGGATATTATACCTTTCGGGAACAACATTTTGTTCAGGATATTCCTGGGGTGGCTGGTTCCGCCTAAAGTGTCACTCTTAAAGCTCACCCAGAATGAGGCAATAAAGAAACTGTACGAAAACAATCACGTCATTCAGGACATGTTGGTCCCCATAGAAACACTTGCAGACAGTGTGAAATTATTCAGAGAGAATTTCAATGTCTTTCCTTTATGGCTTTGTCCTTTCGTCCTTCCTGCGAACGCTGGTATGGTACATCCGAAAGGGAACGGCGAAAAGCTGTACCTAGACATCGGCATGTACGGAGTACCGAAAGTCAACAATTTCCATCCCGAGAGGAGTACCAGGAAAGTGGAGAAATACGTCGCTGATGTCAACGGGTAAATTTTACTATAAGCTTCCTTACAGGCAATCAAAATTAAGTTATCCACACATATACGACTCTGGTTAATCAAGATTTCGTTAAAAGTAAGTTGTACAATTAATTTAACATTCCATTTTATGCCATATGGCAAGTTGAAGATTTTTTTTAGTAGCGGCATTGAAAACTTTTGATTTATTTTAAATTACATCTAATAAAATGTATTAAATTCTTTACTTTTCCTCTAAATATGGCAATACAATACAACATTTTATTATTATTTGCTTCATAAAAACCTTTAATAACTAATAAATGTGGAGTATGCCATTGTATTCATAATACAGTAAGATAAATGTAACATAAAATGATGTTAATTACTCAGAGTATTGTACGAGGGTGGATCAAATATAAACGAGACTTCTCTGAAGCTGAGCGGCATTGCCCTATGGTAGGGAGACCCTGATACGACGTTGGTAGGACTGTAGGGGAGTGGTATCTACTTCGAGCCTTTCACCGAGTCAGTAGGGCAGCGTCCAACAAAATAAGCGAGAAGGATGTCTATCCGTTCATTGCGCAACGCACCATTATTGGGGGAAATAAAATTTATTAGAGCCAATTAAATCATTTGTTAGTATTTGGTGGATTAAGATGTTCTTTTAAGTTAATAAAATGATAATACAACAGTTAAAATTAATTAAAATACTTGCATGAATACCTCATACAGTAATGGCTGATGACGTTCTTCTCTGCATGTTCCGTTGATGGTTTCCTAATTTTAAGGAATAAATATATTTATTTGCAGCAAGTATTTGTGTTTGGAATTACATCATCGTTATAGTCGTTATAATATCAGTTGGAACCGTATAAAAACATTTAACTCATAAACTCTACGGAATCCATAGGCGTCCAGAAAAATTTTGTCCTGTCTCGTTTAGATATACTATATTCCGAGCTATATTCCTATTTAGTTGACGATATTCTCGAATTTTTTGTAAATAATCTTCCCGAAGTGCAACTATACGTCGTGATTCCATAAATACCATACGATTGTCAAGTTTTTTATGTTTAAAACCGCATTGTAATAAAACATGTCGTAAAGTATCTAAAGTAGGAACTTTATTTTCTTTATACATATAAATTGTGCGCCGTATTACATCTCTGGTAAAATCGTCAATATTCTTTAATTGTGTATTTTTCGTTTCTTCTTTGTACCGTGATTAATAACGTCTCCTTCTTTACTTACGCGATAAATTGTCGTTTTTGATATCTTAGTTAATTCGTTAATCCGTTTCCTAATTTCACTATTTTCTCTTTTCAAACATATAATTCATATACAGGGTGATTCAGAACTTATCAAAAAAAAAAAATCTGGATGTCCAGGGGACTCTTATAAATACAATTTTGTAAAGAAAAAATCAAAAAGGGCAATTCGAAATGTCCAAATTTCATTTAATTTCCTCGAGTAGAAATCTAGATTTTTTGAAAAAACATATTTTATTTTAAAACTTCGACATCCTGTACCTAATGAACGAAGCGAAATCTGACCCATGTTGATATGAAAAATAATCTTGTTTTTAGTTTAGGAATCTGCCCCCGAGCGTTTGACCATGTTTTCTGAAACACCCTGTATAAATTCTATAATTCTATTAGTTTGTCATTTGGAATTTAGAACTTTTTAAATATTTCCGATATTGTCAGAATATCGCGATATTTAACGTCATGACAGAGAAGTCATTTTTTTGGCACATGTCCAAAATACAATGTGATTCACTATATTTTGATCCCCTCCCATTAATTGTTTTGTTTTTAGAATTATAAAAAAATGTGAAATACAGAAGAAAATTTTTTGAAAATGATGGAAAAACAAATGAAGTCCAAACAAAATGGCCGCGGATGTTAGCTTTGTTAATTTGAATGGAACACCCTGTATATTTTTAAATATTTGGATAGAACGTTTTCTGTCGAGCATAGTCATATAGGGTTTGTAGGGTTCATCTCTAACAATAAGTGAGATACCATTAAAAAATGAAATGAAGGTTTTTTATTAAGAAAATAAGATATCTTGTAATTGTTAGACTTCTTTGAAGCATTTCTGTCTTTTTTCCAATTACGTAAAGATTTACAGATTTAGTTGTAATATATTTTGACATATCGGACATTGATATGGTCCAAAATGCATATATGTCATGATAATATTGTTATTGTTTAATGGCTTGTATTATTATTTAATTAAAATGGGTTACACAGATGTAGAAAATTGAAATATTATAGGAATTAAAATAGAGTAAAGATCTTCTCAATACTCTATTTTAATTCCTAATAATATTTCAATAACAATACGTTACCATGACATTACCTGTCACTGTCACGGCCCACCATATAACATTGTCCATGAGTAATTAGGCCTCTCACGGCCTAATCAGTGAGATTTAGTTAGAATACCTATACGCATTTTGGACCATATCAATGTCCGATATGTCAACACATATTACAACTACTTGTAAATCTGTAAATCCTTACGTAATTTGAAAAAGGCAGAAGTGCCTGAAAGATGTCTAACAATTACAAGATAGGTACCTTCTTTTCTTAATAAAAAAACCATCTTTTCTTTTTTTAATAGTATCTCGCTTATTGTTAGAGATGGACCCAACAATCCCTATACAGGGTCGGAAAGTCCCCATGGTTCATCGGCTGTTACGTGAGAGCGATAAAGTAAGTCATAGAAATCCGTGCGATAGAGAAAGATGGCTATAATGAAGGCGTCTAATAGTCACCGCCCATTTCGCCCTTCCACAAATAAGAAGTGGATCTTATTTGTGGAAGGGCGAAATGGGCGGTGACTATTAGACGCCTTCATTATAGCCATCTTTCTCTATCGCACGGATTTCTATGACTTACTTTATCGCTCTCACATAACGGCCGATGAACCATGGGGACTTTCCGACCCTGTACTATATGACTATGCTCGACAGAGAACGTTCTATGTAAAAATATATAGGGCGTTCCATTTAAATTAACAAAGTTAACATCCTCAGCATTTTGTTTGGACCTCATTTGTTTTTCAAAAATCATTTTCGAAAAATTCATAAAAAATCGTGCAACTTTTGTATTTTACATTTTTTTGTAACTTTTATAACAAAAAAGTTAAATAGGTGGTCAAAATATAGTGAATCATCCTGTACATAAAGTTGAAAATCGATCTAGTAAAAATATTGGGAAATTCTTCATGACAATGTGCACTATATGGGGTTGCCTATTATTTGGCGTATGTCACGTCACTACTAAAAATGTCTATTCCGATCCTGAAATATCAGTGACAATGAATGTTATATTAAGATCTGAGACCTTTGCTGACCTGAAAAAATATTCGTACGTCACTGCAAGGAACTTTTTATAAACACATTTTAAAAGACGGTTATCAGTCCCAAAAACGATAATTCGATTCATTCATTTCGTTAGTGATACTTGTGAAACACTTAAAATTGTAACATTCGTTGATAACCGTGTCTACTTGGCCCTCAAGTGTATCTCATCTCTAAAGTGTATGACCCCCATTTTTATCTCATCTGGCATTTTTATATATGATAAAACGTGTCTACTTAATATTAATGCTCGGTAACATTACCATTCCATATAAGTGGTATGAAAGCTGAATAACAATTGAACGGTATTGTTCCCAGGTTTCAAATGCTCTACGCTGATACGTACATGACAAGAGAGGAATTTAGAAGAATGTTCGACCATTCCCTGTATGACAAGCTGAGGAACGAGATGAAATGTGTTAAAGCGTTTCCTGAAGTTTACGATAAAGTATCAAGACAAGCGAGGTGTTGAAAACAAATTGTATGCCCTTAGAACAATGTTTACGCATTTGTGTCGAATCATATCTACAAACTTTTCGTTACATGTTTTCAAATGAATTTGTACTGGAAGTAATGTATTTTCAAATACGTGTTTTATTTAATAAAATGAGTTGCACATAATCCATTAAAATAATATTTAAATGCAATTAACAAATCATTTTTTTAAATTGTATTATTTGCCCTGTTACCAAAGTTAAATTCATTTAGCTCTTCATTAATTCAAAAATATAAACTATGCACATACGGTTGAACGATTTCTGGGCCAAAGCCCTGGAGATTTTATAAATAAGCTCAATGAAATCCAACTAGATCTAGATGATATCCTATTTGACATTGTTCACAAAGGGACCAACCGAAGAACTTCATCAAAGGCTCACCCCTTTGGATGGATCCGTTTTATGAACAAGTAAAAGGAGTAACTATGCTTTCATCCTTATCCCCATCCCTGGCAAAAGTCTACACAAAAGTCTTGGAGAACTCTCTGGTGTCAGTAATTCTAAAACTAATTGATTCAAATTTGTTGACCTCGTGGATTGGAAGAAAACGATATCCCAATAAATAAAACTGAACAAAAATTTGAAAGCATTGGACATGACCAGTCCCAGAGACCACTACGGAACGTCCTTAGGGGTTCTGACAAAGGATCCGCCCTCACAGGACCTAGCTCGAGAACAACAAGGGCAGGTTAAAGATTTCTACCCAAGATTAAGGAAATGGAGTGTAAGTCTATAACTGGTGGCAAGATAAGAACCAAATTAAGTAGCACTGGTTTATTTGCACTCCTAAATTTATTCAAAGGGGCCCATGTTCTCCAAAAATAAAGATTAAAGCAGCAATATTCATTTGAAGCGTTCTTTAGAATGTAAGATTTAGTATCAAATTACAGGAACTAAATAATCACAAACAAAATATTTGTATGCTCTGAGTAAGCTTTTACGGAATTCCTTCTGCTTCAGGTAGATTTTTTTAGTGAATCATTTTCCGGTCTGGAACTGAATCAGTTGTACCAAAAGATGTACGTTTGACCTAGCTATTTACTAAGTGAAACGTACTACGGCAACGCAAGGGGTCCTATTGTACACTGGAATTCCTTGGTGTATTGTTAGCGTATTTTAAAAGTAATAGCTCTTGGTCGTAAACAGTGAAGGGGAGCTGGGAAATTAAATGGTTCACGTTGCGGCCTAAGAAATGTATAGGCAAACGTGTGGATTTGAGCATGCGTCTACGGTAAGCGAGCTTTACATTAGTATTTACCTGAGAAGTGGAGATGATTTGCTTTTATAGCGAATGGCATAGGCGTGCTCGAACCGCACGAATTTAAATAAAAATTATTTTAAGCTAAATTAATTACTGGCCTATATGTATACCTCTTGAGACTGTTTCATAAATAAATACGGTTAAAAACAGACACGTATACAGGGAAGACTGGATCACTAAAACTATATCAATTCATATACCACTGGTTAAAAGTGAAATTTTGAAAGAGAATTATTGATATTTAATGCGTTTAAAACTTCCACACTTCCTGGTTTAAAAGTGCTGTTAAAGTAAATATTTAGCCGCATAGAGTAAAGTGCATCTTTTACTACCTCGTGATTAAAAGATGCATTATTAAAGTGCTATTTTAATATTTAGTTTCAAAAACAAATGCACTTTTACTTATTTATGTACTTCGTAGCCTGAAATTAAAATTATATTATATTTATCTAACATCTGCCATATTACATTAGTAAATATACATTAGAGGTTAAAACAGTAGTTTTAATCCATAAAGTGTAAGAAAATAATTTTACTTTAATAATTAAAAGATGCACTTTACTCCTTTTTGATGATTTTGAGCCTTAATATTCAATTTCAACGAGTAAAGTGTCACTTTTAACCAAGTGTAATATAACCAAGGGACTAAAGTGCATTTTTTAATCCGTTGGGATTAAAAGATGCATTTTTACCTATTTTTGCATTTTGTAGCCTGAAATTGCTGAAGTTATTAATTCAAATTATTTATACTTTATTTAACATCTGTCATATTACAATGGCAACCATTTGAATTATTGAAAAAATAAGTTTAATTCTTATACAATTAAAGGTGACACATTACCCCCCTAAAAGTAGAGACTAAAACAGTACTTTTAATCCGCAAAGTGCAAGAAAATCATTTTAAATAGCAATTAATTTTAATTATTTTAATAATTAAAAGATGCACTTTAGTTCTTCGTATATACATTATTTTGCACTGAGGATTAAAGTGCTATTTTAATATTTAGTTTCAACGAGTAAAGTGTCACTTTCAACTAAGTGTAATATATACCAAGGGACTAAAGTGCGTATTTTAATCCATCGGGATTAAAAAATGCACCTTTACCTATTTCTGCACTTTGTAGCCTGAAATTGCTAAAGTTATTAATTCAAATTACATATTTTGTATTTTATTTAACATCTGCCATATTACATTGACAACCATTTGAATTGCATTAGTAAATATACATTTGTTCACGTTAGAAAATAAAAAATAAGGTTAATTCTTATACAATTAAAAGTGACACATTACCCCCCTAGAAGTAGAGACTAAAACGGTACTTTTAATCGGCAAAGTGCAAGAAAATAATTTTAAATAGCAATTAATTTTTATTTTAATAATTAAAAGTTGCACTTTAGTCCTTGGTATATACATTATTTTGCACTGAGGATTAAAGTGCTATTTTAATATTTAGTTTCAACAAAGTGCCACTTTCAACTAAGTGTAATATATACCAAGGGACTAAAGTGCGTATTTTAATCCATCGGTATTAAAAGATGCACTTTTACCTATTTCTGCACTTTATAGGCTGAAATTGCTGAAGTTATTAATTCAAATTATTTTATGTTTTATTTAACATCTGCCATATTACATAGGCAACCATTTGAATTCCATTAGTAAATATACATATGTATATTTGTTCACGTTAGAAAATAAAAAATAAGTTTAATTCTTATACAATAATTAAAAGTGACACAATACCCCCTAAAAGTATAGACTAAAACAGTACTTTTAATCCGCAAAGTGCAAGAAAATTATTTTAAATAGCAAATAATTCTAATTATTTTAATAATTAAAAAATGCACTTTAGTCCTTGGTATATACATTATTTTGCACTGAGGATTAAAGAGCTATTTTAATATTTAGTTTCAAAAACAAATAAATGGTAATTTTATGTTTTATAACATTATATATTTAAATTTTTGTTCCAAGCATATATCGAATCAGTTTATACAATAATTGTAACTAATAATTAATTTAGACATTCCAGGATACGGAGTTTGAAAAATAACGTATACATGAAAGGACTGAAGCGCCTTTTTTAGTTTAAGTGAACAAACTCCTTGGGGATTAAAATATGCACTTTATCCCTAATGTCAGGTTCACATTGATGCGAACGGTGTTATCTAACTGCAATCGCTTATAATGGTTACTAATAACGTTTAATTAATACATTAACATTAATAATCTAATAACACTGTTCATTAATGATATTCAGATTTACACAACTGTTAAATTTTTTGTACCTTAACATACTTCTAGTTTTGAGAAGACTTTTCCTTACCTAACTGTATTTCGATTACACGTATATTAAAAGAAAGTTAATAACTAATTCAACTAATCAGAGCAGCAAGCTTTACAATTATATCTAACAATATTTTATGAAATTTGACAGTATTGCCACTATAATTACCGACCTACAACATATACATAACAGTATAAGTACTCTTAAACTTTTTATCATGCACATTAATAAAATATACCGCTGAAGATTTTTATATAATTTTAACCATTAATTTATCGCGTTTGGAATCAGAAATAAGAAAAATAAATGTAATCCCCACCTAAGGTCATATATAGGTTTGTTTCATTTTGAAGTAAATAAAATATTAACTGTTTATAGAGAAAAAGGTAGATTTGAAAATTTAATATGTCTATTTGTTCGTTGCAATCCGTCACACTTGAATGTAGTCATAAGTAGAGCTCCACATTTGCGTGCGAAGTCAGTGGCGTAACTAAAAAAATTAAATACAATTTAACTATATTAAAAATATCAAAATTTTTCATTTTGTTGTGAGTGCAAGATAGAACCTAGCGTATATCGGTATCATTAAAGTGGCTTCAAATATGTACACTATTAGTGAAAAGTGCAACATATTTTGCTTTGTACAACATTAGAAACATGCCTTAAATTATTATTCTTCCTATCTCTAGTTTCATCTACATTTTTTTACCACAAAATAATCGGAACTTTTTCATTACATAGATTAGATAAAAGGTATGCCATAAAAAAATACCCGGTACGGCAGCTGTAACCGTCGATTTCTTTTACGCACTTACACGGATAGAAACTTCAGCCCAACAAAATAGTACGACAGACATTTTAACCGTGAATCAAAAAACCTTCCATATTATGTTTCTTCTTCTTCGTTCATTTACTGACAAGAATAATGTCTTTGTATGTCGTTTAAGTCCAAAACCAGTATAAAAATGTAGAGTTTACGTTATACAATCTAAATAACCTTGAAGAGGATTTTTACAATCGGGAATATAATTTTTATTTTTTTTTTGTCATAACGTTCTGCTGCCTTGGTTGGTACCGCGCGTTGCCTTGCAAAACTCCGTGCGTCCCGTCTACCTTTTTAATATCGGGCAAAAATAATAACCCGTAAGGTAGCAATTTCCCCCAAGACTGAGTCACGCCTATGGCTGGTAGTGGATAATTCTTGAAACCACCAGCCAGAGAAGTTCATTCATAACTGGCGAGCCCGGAGCGCGGTTCATTCAGTTAATCGCAACCCAAAAGCACGAGTACTCTTGTACCACTCGCACCTGTGGTATTTCTCGCGCTAGCCGCATCTACCTGCATTCCAAGGGCCCAAATCACTGTCTTTGCGGCCTACACTGGCTGCACCTCAGTTAGGAAATTTAAGATATTTGTGTTCTCGGCCTCGACAATCCATGCAGTTTCATCAGTGCTCTTGCGGTACGCCAAGAAAACCATCGAAATGATCTCCAAGGAAGTGCTAGTGACCATTACCATTTTTCTGGTGGCTCTGATGAATCAGCGTAAGTGATTTTTTTATATATATAATACCTGCATTGTTCGAATCTGTTACGGTCTTATGAGGCGCATTCCTCACGTGTGTGTCAGAGGAGATTGTAGTAAGGACTAGGAAATGCTGATGAGATGACTGTTAAACAAACATGCTTTCTCGTATTTCCCGACTTGGTGTGGCATCCGCCAAAAAGTAAACAAACACTGGAAAAGTCAATACAACGTGCCTAAAAACGATTTTGTAGAAAATCACTTAACTTTAAATACTTACAAGGTTTCCAGACTACATTTTTGACTCCAGTAAAAAAAGTTTCTATAAAAGTTCCTTCAACAATTAATCTTTAGAAGCAGCAACTGAACATCCATATGCATATGCCTCTAGATGTAAGTTGTTTTTTAAATGCAACATTCCGCACATCTTTTACATTTTTTAAGTCTGGAAGTTTTTTTTGTTTCAAAAATATAAATATGTAAGATGCTTATTTGACGAGTTTTTTTTTTCTAGATAAGTCTTTATTTAAATCATATCGACATACATACGGAGGACAAAAGAGCTAAAAGCGTTACATTCTTAAGTGGTCAAGCCATACATTTTATTTGGCAAAATGCCCAAAAAAAACAAGAACTATATAAGTTCCTTGAACACCTCCTTAAGTAGCTGACAAAATGTAATATATATTCACTACACTTCAAGTTTGTTCTCTCATAATTTAAACGCAGTTTTAAGAATTCTATTTGAGACTTGGAAATCAGTTTTATAACTAATTGTTACCTATCACCTTTGTTTTTCATAGAACCATGATACTGGATACAATTCTGCGAATAAAGTATATTAAAAAAATTATACCCGCCTACTTATATATTTTGTATCTACTTGAAAACGTCGTTACTTTAAAGGTGCCTTTTCACACGAGCACTGCATGACTCATATCCAAAAATGTGCCTAGTTAAATGTTGTCCATCTCAAAACAGAACCGTATGATGTTTCGTAACCAAACGACTTTATATTATGTTAATTGTTTTTTTTTTTTTTTATTTTTATGGTTCTAGTGGGCGTAATATAGCCTCTAATGTCGCCTACAAATAAAAAAAAGTAACTAACCTCTGGAGCTATTTTTGGCAAACCCAAATATAGCCGTGGAATCGTTACAAATCCCAAAAAATATTTTTCTGGTGAAAATCTAGAACGGACATTTTTGTGTGGCGAAATTAAGTTTCTTCACCTTTAAAATGTATGCGACAAAAAGAGGTAAAATTCACAATGTTTTAATTATTCTGGTTTCTCGTATTTTAAGTTTGAAATTTGATGCATTGTTTCATCACGTGTTTCTCCACCTTGTAACAGGTAGAACAATACTGCTGATGAAGGCGTGTTAAAAAAATTCTTTAGAAAACGTGAAAGTAATATAAATGAATGTAAATAACATGGGATTTTACCGTCACCGAGCATTTGACACAAGCGCGAGCTAGGTAATGTTACACAGAAAAATACTTATATCAAATCAAGAGACAACATGCTAATTAAAAAAATGGACTAAAGTGTATATTGTATAAACAATGTATATCATGTTATGAAATGGTTCTATGCCTTCGCGATCAAAACAAGTTGCTGTGCAAACATGATTATTTCTATAAACATCAAGTTGGTGTTGTTTTTAATAAATATGCCCAATTAAATGTTATTAAATTTTATTTACGATAGGAAAATAACGATGAAATAACTTCTATTCCTCTATTTAAAAAAAGTTAACCAATTTATGTATGCAATAAACGTTTTCGATTTGCATATACATAGGTATATTATTTTTCAATAAATGAGTAACCTAGCAAAAATTCAAAGTAATTTACATTTTCCGTCACAACTATGCAAGCCACTAACAATTACGAACAGACGCAATTTTTCTTCATTCAAATCAATACGTGACCGATGTCTAAATGTTATAAACAATATTGTGTATACTTCACAGGATGTAATAATTCTATTTTGTTTTTTTTTTTAATAACCCGGTTAATACCTTAAAAAAAGTTATCCATAATTAAGTTATCCAATTAAAATCATAATTGTCATATCCTCTAAAACGTATTTCCATTTTTGGTATAGTCCAGCAAAAAAGAGTGACTGTAATTCATCATCAGATATAACAAGTTATATACAGTGTAAAACGTATAATTCATATTTTTTAACATACTTCCTATTTTTTTTATTTTAAGATGCAATATAATTGGACAATCATTTTATGGCTGAAATATATAAAATGGCCGGCCAAATTTAACCAAACTAAAGTGAAGATACATTTCAATTATTACGGATTGTTCTGTGTAAACAGGTCGAGACTTGTTTGAGGTTTAAAGTTCTGATTATCGCTGAATACCCAAAGCATATACTGCGTGGTTAGTTACACTATCAAATTAATTATTATTATTATTATTATAATCTCTCCTAAGGTCAGATATTAATAAAAATGGTTTGGATAAATAATAAGTGAAAACTTTTTTTAATTACAGTATTTCAGACATCGCGTTCACCCAGATCCTATCGGTTTTAAGAGCTCTTAATGACACGTTGTGGTTGACGCAACGTTTGTACAAATCGTTTGTACAGGGTGTCCCGTTTAAGGCGGACTCTTGTAGCCCTGACATATACATAAAAGTCGTATTAAATCAATTTCTCCACATTTTACTTTAAGCAAATCTAAGTTGTACCTTGATGTCTTCTAAAAAAAGTATGTTTGTGGCATCCTCGAAAATATTAACACTTCCGAAACTAAATACGTTAACAACATACGGTTTTTACCACTCGTTCAAGCATGAAAACAAAACTGTCTCTTGCATGATCTAATAGATTTCAGATAGAAAATAGTAATTATCAGAAAACAGAATATTGCAACCGAGATATTTTGAAACATAGCGAATGTTGCATTTTCGAAAATCTACTGAAACTTTCTTATTTTTAAGAATTATTGAAAACTAAAAACATTAGAAAAAAACAGTTACTACAGAAAAATCTTTTTTTTTTACACATTTTATTTTTAATGACTCGAAAGAATAAAAATAATGAGAATTGTTTTTTTACCAACCATTATTGGGCTTTTTCACTAAATATATTTGTGTGATGATTGAACTTTTTTCTCTAATAAAGAAGCTTTATAAACAAATAAAACCAGCAATTTCGTTGAGATTTCACAACTTTCTAAGCTGCCATTAATTGTTAAATAAATAAATTAAATTGTAAAATAACCTTTAAAATGAAATGTCGTGCGTCTCAATCCGTCCAATAGAACAAGAGATATTATAAAATTGGTGCGCGCGGAGACGGAAAATGTAAGATATTTGCACTAAATTTGCAATAACTTTGGTTAACTTTAACCAAAGTTATTCTTCTTTTAATTTTCAAAAAAATATATCTTCGTTATTTAATTTGTTAATAACAATTAAACTGGCCACTTTCAGGCTTTGCGACCAAGTTTTTTGGATTTAGGAGGTCAAAATACTTAAGAATAAGTTGTTTGCAGCCGTGGCACTCTGATTGACCACGGAACCCTATCTGGCTCCTAGACTATATATCAATAATAATGAAGATCCTTGGTAGCTTGTTTTGCAGAGTTTTAAGAAAAAGTGTTAATTGAAATATTGAATCTTTAATAATCGTAGATACTTAAACAATGTAATGTTGTGTATCGGCAGTATTTAGTCTGTAATATTTCTAGGCTGTCAAAATTGAACACTATTTCATTTGTTAATGTGAAATTATTTCAGTATCTATTTTTTTTAGACGATGTTTCTAGATTTATCAAAATTATACCTAATAATAATAAATAATAAGACCTTTTCGTTCGGCATATAATACAAAAACAGGCGATGATGGGTCTTCAGGGCCGAAATGTTGAAATAAAAATCAACAGTAAAAAGGAAAAACAACTAAAATTAACACAATATTTATTTCGTTAATTCATTTTTAAATTTTAATAAACGAAGTTTCCATTTAAATATGCAGATCGGAACTGTGGCACATTTTTCGACACGTTACTATCGAGCAATGCTCATTCCAAGCCAACAGTAGCCCGTTGGAATACCAATTAAAATGAAACATTGTTCCTTATTATTCAGATTTGTTTATGTAAGCTTGAATTCCTCGCTTCCATTTGTATTCAGATATTACGGGCCAGTAAGAAATTCCCAAATTATCTCTGTTTAAGATAAAGTAAGCAACGCCAACGGATCTTTGTTAAGTGTGTAACAAAATACATCCGTAAGCTCTTATTCCAATTCGCATAAAAAACCCATAAAATAATATTCAGTTATTATTTCAATCCTATTGTTCGTTGTGCATTTGAAACGAGGAAATTTTACATAATAAAATAAACAGTATGTTGTAAACGAACACTCGTTATATGACGAAATTTAATAACTACTGTCAGAGATTAATTTGCGATATTGTTACGTTCGAAGGTTTTGCAACATGAAGCGCCATTTACTCGTCAAATATAAAAAATCAGTAATAAACGTCCGTTCTTTAGAGAAACGGTCCCAAGACAGATATGGCTATTTTAAAAAAGCAATGCAACTTCCCTAAATATTTAGTTTAGGGTCTTTTCCCATTTGTTAAATATTTAACACATTTCAAGCAACTAATCACTACATTCGTCGTTATTTTCACTGCCGATTTAGCAAAATAATATAATAACAAAGTTGTTAGTTAAAGGTAGTATCCTTAAGATGCTACGCGACATCAGCCCAACATTCAAACGGTATATCATCTCGATGTAGCGACGATATTTTGCGAGTTGCCTAAATATGTGACGTCACACTAAAAGAGTCTATGTTTTATCAATCTAGGTCAGACATCTTCAGATATTTTCTCAATTCCAGCAACCTGTATCTAAGAATCTTGAATTTTGCATTAACAATGGGCGAAAAATAGTAGAAAATCATATGTATTTTGGAGCAATTTTTAAAATAAATAAATAATTATAAATATTGATGAAACTTTGTGAACAAATAGTAAAACATA